AAGTTAACGTTTGGTAGTATTTGACACGAGCCAGTGAAAATGACACGATTCAGTACTGGGTAAATTTATTTTGAGACTTATCTGATGTGGAATTAGGTTCGCTACAGTTCTCAAGTTCTGTGCTTATAAAGTAGCATGACACTTGCATGCAATATGGCGTACGTGGGTGTATTTTACAGAAAACCTAACAGGATATGACCTTTTTCGGTTTACTGTTAAATATATTGACGCTTCGTTCAAAATTTTCCTCACTGATTTTGATATGCTGGCAATGTGACGTTTGTGGCTGACTCACTAAACTGAGTTAGATCAAGTAGGGCTGTATCATTGTGGTTAGGCAATATACCAGATAGAGGGTAATGATGAGTGCCTAGGACACCATTGTATACGAAGAAAAGTATATGTCCCTGGCGTAATACTTCTACATATAGCAGGAAACTCCGAGGAGACCCAACCGGTAGAACAGTTTAATCGCTCGAAATACGAAATACATTCCGGGATCCAAAATTTGGTGAAATATCGAAGACCGGTCGACTAGTTGAGATGCATGTGCGATTGACGGAATTTAACGAGGAAGAGCCCTAAATGGTTTGAATGTTTGACGTCATACATTTAGCTCAATCACTTCACTGTAGTGATAAATATTAGTATGCACTGCTGAGTGGAGAAATCTTTGGGTAAACCATTCTGGGAAATTATTGACGCCATGTTCGCCGTGGTTTTCGGTGGAAAGATTCGTCAGTAGTAACATGAAAATGCAAAACTTCCTTCCGAAGCAGTCTTTTTATTTACGACGCTATCAATGATGTGACATTATTTTAGTGTCTTATTTTTAGTTCATTTGTAATATTATGAAAAGGGCTAAATTCAAACTGTCTTTCGAAATCTTTCGGCAGTGCATTCAATATCTAGTCACACGCCACAGCCAAGTTTTGGAGACATGACTGTTCCTGTCACATTTGTCATCACACTTCTTGTGGACTAAGGGTGGCAAAAATTAGCTTAATGAAATTCTGGATACTGACAGAAGGCGTGCAGTAATCCCTACATGAAATAGTACTAAGAAGATAATAAAAAGCTGGCATCCAAATGTTGACTATTAATACATGATTTCCATTAACTGCTTTTCTGCTTTGTGGCATATTGTGTGTGAGTGCCTTTTAGTCAGCCAACCAGTGTCGAGAACTGACATTTCAAATGAGTTAATTCGCACTATTCTTAGTTTATACGGCCCTAGTCGAAACGCTCTCCTAGCCATATACCCCCCAGTGGTTGACCTGCGGTGTGCATAATTGGTGGCTATGCACACTTAATCATCAGGTTGCCTTCCTGTGAGCCGTTCACCCTTATAAATGATTCTTTCTGATTGCCGTTAGTGCAACTAGGAAGCAAACGGTCGAAAAACAAGCAGTTTACCAGCCATTTTGTAATAGAATATTTCCCTTTAGGTCTTGACTCATTTTGGTGATAACGTGGTACAATACCTTTCTAAGACATACTTGGGATCAGTAATTGTGCATAGCAGATAAGTTCTAAAAGACCGGAAACTTACAGTTATAGAAGTTTTATATATATAACCAAATAATATGTGTGTTTTTTTGACAGTCTGTTATATTTTTGCTATGTATATATGGATCGATATTCCATCATAATTAACAATCATGTTAAGACTGTCTATTGATTTGTTCATTTTTGAATATTCGCCCATACACTTGTGTACACACTTGTTCGGACATTCATATATATTTTTGCTATCACACTCCTGTGAGACATATTGATTCTCCTGGTGTTTTGGAAAAACCTAGTGGTCTTCTGATTTCTGTCTTCCTTGCGTCAGGACTATTAAATTCTCGACCAGTACATAACAATAATTTGGCGACGAGTACATAATAAAGTACATGTCCTCTAATTAAAACAACTTTCAGGGTCGACAAACATCCATCTATACTGGCAGACTTACTTCCTATCCATGAGAATATGTAAGTGATTTCAATTCAGCAATGCATTCTGTCTAGAAATAGATTCATGAAAAGACGTGTGGCCTACAAAGACCTGCCGAGCTTCCAGTGGATACCATCGGCAACTGCGGACAGGATCGTGGCTGCGATAAATCCCTGGATTCAAATGTGTTTCACATGTCTAAGTCTCCAGAGACCAGTTTATTTTTTTTTTATTATTCGGGTACGAAGTAAAGCATCAGTTTACGTTGGTGTCTGAAAGAGCACTGAATTGGCGGCATCATTGCCTTGCATTTTCCCCTCCCCCATTGGCTGTCATTAACGGTAGTCTGACAGACTTGTTATAGCTAATCAGGCTAGAGAGTTACTATCGTTGGCCTCACGGCATTTCACCATTGAACCACAGAAACCGCCTAAGTACAGGCCTTGCCGACACTAATAGCTGGCTTTGTACTTCTAGATGAAGCTTGATGGAGTGACGCAGCTCTACATTCCCATATATGGCATCACCTGGCTTCTAGTTCATCATGAATATGTCAGAAAGTGGCAAATGCTAGGCTTGTAAGGTCCCATCACTTGAACCCGGATCACTCACCCAAGAACAGACTTTCAGTTGTCAATCTTATTACTTTTAACTTGAATAATGAGCGCTTTTCAGCGAAGCCTTCACACTTCCGTTGACTAGTGTATTCTTGCATGTGAAAGAGCATGAATCCGGCTACATCGTCTCACCAACCGACCTTACGGATAGGTTCGACTGGCAGCCCAAGTACTTTCAAATCCCTTCTTCGTATAGCCGGTTTTATAACATCATTTACTGCTTGCCCGAACACATAGGGCATGATCAGTTTGTTAACCTTCCGCCATAATGCTCCTATGATACACTGTTAAATTTTGATGGAGGACCAGCTGTCTCCAGCTTCTGTAAAATATCATACAACTTTGACTCTTCTTCCAGTGAATTTCCATTTGCTATTTATAACAAATGAGAACCGCAATCAGGCGCTTTATCACTTGTATGCTTTCCCCAATTTATAATATAGGAATCTGAGCAGCATTCTGCTGAATGAATAAGCACGTGTAATGAAAATCAACACTGCCACATACTCCCGCAATGGCAGCGAGAATCTATGAATTTTCAAATGTGTTAGAATCCAAACCTAACGATCCAAAGGAGAAAAGCTGTCTGAGAAATAACGTGTTTTCATCACTATCCTCAGCGTACAAACTTGAAAGGGGCAACTTCAGAAATAGCAAGAACCATTCGGATTAGTATGTCTCATATAAGTAAATTTAAATAGTATTATGGTATCAAGGGTGAAACCCATTCCCGAAAGTGCTAAAGACCAATCAGTAGAATTGGGTACAATTAGTTCGGTATAGCTGTATAAAAGTGATTTATAGTCAAATAAAACCCTACACTCAATGGAAAAGTGTAATCTCACGATTACTCAATACTATGCAATAAAGAAACAACATATTGCTGTCGTCGAATACCAAAAATGATGTGAATGCCCAGTCACTTAAGCAGATTTTCGGTCTAAAATCACAGACTTCGTAGTTGGAAGAGCTACACGATCTACAATTTAATGTTGCACCTCCCTTGACGCTTACCGAAATGATGTAAATTTACAAAGAGGTGATATCTTCTCAAGTTATCAAGAAAGGAGTTAAATCTCTCCCACCAACTGCATTTACAGGATATATGTTAAATACAGGAAATTCTGTTTTACGGTTGGGAACGCAAAGATCCCCCATACAAGGGGGTGTTAGTTTCAAATTAAAAACTAAAAAATATCTTGGCTAGACTATGCACAATATTATACTTCTCAGGACACTAGACCGTACAACATTACACTTCCAACAGCTTCTGTACTTTGAAAAATTGCATGGGTAACGACTGAATTAGAAGGAATAGAACATTTCAAAGCCCACAAAAATAGCTGTTTATCTTCAGCATGCTAAATTCGTTCTAGCCTTTAAGTTTACAGTGGTCATCAGTTTTTGATTTACTCGTTCCTCAACACGATTCCACCTGTTTGTCTATCGCTACGACAGTATTTCAACGACTGTTTAATCACCACAAATGATTTAGGTATTTATGTCACGACAGCAAAGTGTGTGAAAGGTTAATTGATACGTATAAACGAAACAGATTTCACAATGCATATTTTGTATCAGTCAGAAGTGATTCATTACCATTCAGGAAAATTGAATAACCACCACAGCGTTAATCAGTGTATTCAGTGCAAACAGATTCTAGGTTTCAGCTACATTAATTTAATGACATACATTTAGTCTGAAAGCAGGAAATAATATCGGCCTAATCATACAGAATACATACCAACATTGGAACAGTTTAATATTGTTTTGTGCGAGTACTTCAGCAGTAGTTTTAGTATAAAACGCATCAAAGGACATAATTAGTTATCGCGGGTCCACGAGCGTGTAAGTTGGAGTCTCACCCAGTGATATATATATTAGATACAGAAACAATTAAATAGTGTGGTTTATCATGTCTATCCGAGTGAAAAGAATTAGGAATATTATCCCTAAGCTATTTTTCCTATTTTTCTGAGATTCATCTCTCATACATTGCATAATACTTTTGTAGGAAACTGGTTTTTTACATTTTTGGATTGAATAATGTGCCGCAAGAAAAGGTTTAACCACATATCTTGCAAGGCAAAGCAATTCAAAGTCTGTTGCAAAATAATATTGTCCTTCGGCCATAACAACCGAACTCACTATGGTTACTTAACAGTGCCGGCAGAAATTTGTTGGTTTTGCACTAAGTGTGTACGCATAATTCATAAGATTACTTCCTGACTCTCTTTCTCATATTTCTAACAGCTACAATAATTATAATCTCTTATTGTGGTTTCACCTGAAATTATTCTTAACTGGGTATTTTAGGGCACATAAATAACTAAGCTACGCAAATCAATGGAATAGTGAACTGAAACTTTGTATTTCTTAGCAGTGCTTTAAGACTTTTGAAAACTATTGTCAGTCTTTACATTTCTTTTTCCAACAGCGAAAATGATTGTGGAAGTCCATGAACTTGACAAAATAAACGGCAGAAATGATCATGCTCCAGCTGTGCAACTGAAGAAAACTATTGGATTAGCAAGCAGTGTAACAATCATAGTCGGTTCCATGATTGGATCTGGAATATTTGTCAGTCCAACTGGAATACTAGAAAATGTTCAAAGTATCGGAGCAAGTCTTATCATATGGGTCGCTTGCGGCATTTTTAGTATGTTAGGAGCATACTGTTATGCTGAGTTAGGCACAATGATTCATCGTTCTGGTGGAGATTATATATATGTTTATGAGGCATTTGGTCCATTTCTTGGGTTTCTTCGATTGTGGTCGGAAGTAGTTGTAGCCAGACCTGCATCTGTTGCGATATTGGCAATGACATTTGCGAAATATATCGCTCAGCCGATTTTCCCAACCTGTGATCAACCTGAAATTGCAGTACGTCTTTTAGCCACAATTTGCATTGGTAAGTTTTTCCTAGTTTTGTTTTTAAAACAAGGTAAATTTTCTATACACTTGTAAATCACTCACTAGACTTTACTAATCTCTGGTCAGGAAATAAAAGAATAGTGAACAACAGCATTCAGTATGGACAGAGAGCATTTATGAATGACGAGCTTTATAGGTTGTCTTCCCATTTTTAATCCTCTTTTTACACTAGTTATCACCATTTTTAATCATGTGAACTTAAATTACACCATTCACTTTTTTCGTAGACTTATTCATCAGCATAAGAAGGTTGGTCTTAGACCTAAACCTAGTTAAGATATTCTTCGTTTTATTCCGTCTTGTGATTTGTTTATCCGTGAACTACCAAGTGGAAAAAGTTGAGCCAAACATTTTTGGACAAATAAAGCCAGAAGTTACATGGCTTGCAGCTAAAAGTCAAGCAGTTAACCATAAGTGAAAAGCTCATATTTAGCTACATGCACAAATCGTAGACCCATACAGAACAAAATATTACCTTTCTGATTTAAATTTAATCGAAACTTTTAGGTGGTGATGTCACTGTCACTGGCCCTGTCTTTAAACAGCTTCAGGAAAATAGTAGCCAGACCATTCAGCTTTACTAGCGCATGGATTTTGTAAATATTGGCTGCAAAGGTAGCAAACTTCTGTAAATAATCATAGGTAGTGGAGAGTCTTAATTTTGTCACTCATAATCACAATACTTGGCTACGTTAAAAGTTATATATTCACTGCATTGTGTTTGTGTAAAAGTGATCTACTCTGTGACCCACCTGGATATTTACCATGTCAGAAGGAAATGCTACGATGTTTGGTTTTGGTTTACAATTTATATCTGAACATAAATTTCCCTATGCTCAGTTGAATTGCGGCTTCTCTTTTGTTTTAGCTTGATAGATGTTTGTTTACCGCTTGGAAACTGTACATTGCTATAGGGTTTTTACTTCTCTTTGTTGTATAACATATTCTGAGTCATGGATGCTTTTGTCATTTTTATAATACTCACTCTCACCCAACGTGTTTTGTCGTGGCACAGTTCTGTCTCTGTTCTTTACCTTTCGGTGTGATTTCCGAAGTCTCATAAATTTAAATGATGCAGTTATGCGCACGCGTCTACGTTTATTTTTCCGTTCTTCTCTTCCATTTTGCAATAGAAAATTGTTTAAATTCACTACTAGAAACCAGGCGTATTTCAGTGAATAACAATGACTCCAGGAAGATGGTCATCTAATGCACACGTTCTCTATGGCACCAGATTTGGTGGCTAATATTTATATTAGCATCACATCATACAATTTAAATCAGAGTAATGCAGTATTTATTGAAGGTGTTGCAATATTCAAAAAGCTTGCGTTCAAATTTACATCACTAAAAAATGAACTCTATGTTCTATGTAATAGTCTCTTATTTAAACGAAGACAGTTACCAGCCTTTATGACGTTTTCCAGGCTGACGAACAACCAGATGCAACATACCCGTGTTATATACAAAAACGCATTCATTTCGTTTGCAATAATAAAAGTAGATACTCATAAAGCCGACTGATAAATAGGATAAAAAAGAAATGAAGTCACATTCAATCTTTTTTAGCATAACTATCACATCCCAAACTTTGCAATAACTTTTTATCACTTAAAATTAGTCTCTTTTCTTTAGCTGTTGATATCCTCATTAACTGATATACCAAGCTTATACTTACCCCTAAGGCCTAAATTCTGTTCAAAATAATATGGCTTTAAAAACATTTTTGGATATAATAAGTAGCTTACAACGCATAATCCCCGCTTAAATCACTTAAGTCGAAGTAGATTCCGTAGCCTATTGATTAAGTCACCTAAGAAAGTGAATTTTTTGAACTCACACGGACCTGTTCATGTGACAGGAGACACTTTACAGAAAAATTCTTGAAAACATATTATTTCTAACTTTTCTGACGGAAAAACGAGTCGTGGAGACAGAAAATTACCATTATTTCTTTTATTTCTGACTACATTTCACAAGGTAACTTTTATAGGCTATGTGTATCAGAGTATTATTTCAAAACCTTTTTCCATGTAGTGTCTTCTTTATGTGAACTGTTACATACTTTATAGCTAAGTACTGCCAGCTCTAAGCATGCACTAAGATATATATATATATATATATATATATAAGTACCCTTAACTCATATCGGCGGATTAAGTGAACCAAGAGGGTGTTGTAAAACGAAACAAGAATACCTTAGATGAGATAATAGATTATTACTTCAGAAAAAGTGGCATCAATAGATCATCAGAAAAAGTTATTTTAACCGTGATGAATATCACAAACCTTTATGTCTAACCTAAAAGTACACATTCAAGTCTAATAAGTTACACCTTTGAATTCAGCAGCTATGATTCTGTTATGTCAGCAAATATACTAAACTCACATTTAGTGTTCTAGAGACCTGTCGATTTTTAAAACTGGCGAGTTTTCAAAAATCCCTCCATTATTCTCAGCGTTACCTGAAGGGTCATTCTGCCAGGACAACTAACAGCAGAAAAAGAAGTTCAGATTTCAAAAGTGAAGAAATTGTTAATTTTCTACTTTACCGAATAGTAGCGCAATTTATTATTATTAATCCTTTGAGGTTTGAGTAGAACACGAAACTTCAACAGCACATTCCCATTTCAACCTGTTCTCTGAAGTCCTCTTTAGTCGGCTCTATGATTGCCTATAAGCTTCCATTTACCTCAAATACGATCGCCTCCATGTCACGCAACTTATGGTTTCCTATTCTGGTCTTAATAGAGGGGTTGCTTTATGCATAATTCCACTCAACACATTCCTCAGAGTGTCAAATCCACCCCTTCCAATTTATTCAGCATATTTCTTAAGCAATAAGTTGTTGCTTGGTTCATTGACACAGTTCCTTGTTGCCAATCCTTTCCGGCTATCTGATCTTTGGAGCCGAAGAAGGCTGTTGTTGACGAAAGCCTACTGACTGTTTGGAGTACTTTTGATGACGTATTAGTAGCACTTATGATTATACAACGACTGGGGTCAGTTTTCATGGTGGAACTTGTACACAGCACTCACTACTTCACATAATAAACGGTGATTCACAACTCTACTCAATGGTGGCATTCATCTACCGAGTAAGAAATATTTGCTAATTTCTTTTATTTGTTATTTACTGACTGAAGATATTCGTAATATCTTGATAAATAAATTAAGCCACAAAAATTTTAAGTGTTATTATTGAAATGAGACGAAATTTTAGATTACTTGCTGGTCTGTGAACTACTCAAAAAGCTTGTTGAAAATTGTTGAAGTTATATTTTCAAACAACAATGATAATAACACTACTAACATCACTTGAAGTCGTAATTCAAATAACTACATAAATCATCTGGTATTTAGAACGTGCGATGACAAATAAATTAGAAATAGAATATTTTCTTGTTAAAAGAATTCTGCTATCTTTCAATTCAGTGAATAAATAATTAACGACAAATGCATAATGGAATGTAGAGCTTGTAGCCTTTGACAATAACACACTTCGAGCGTAAATATGTATTTATTCTTTTCTGATCGTTGGAAACACTGAAGCAAAATGCTTTGTAACTTTTAAATATACCTGTCCATCAAGAAAACGGAATATTTAGGGTACTGTTAGGGCTATTTAAAGATTAATGATGATTTACATAATTGGCTGACCATAATTTATATGATATATGTGATTATCTTGTGGATGGCTTGAAATTTCGACCGAAATGACTTCTTTTTCTGCAGGTTTAACCTCTAACTGACTTCATTGAGGAGACTATTGGAAGCTAAGGGGTACTGGATAGCCATTTTGTCCTTTTCTGCAACTTTTCATCAGCACCCCCCACGACCTCACCTCCAGAGAGAGAGAAACAGAGAGAATCCAGGACCTTCAGGTTACGAGATGAGCTCGTTGACTAACCACCCACTGGAACAGAATCCAGTGGCCCATCAATTCTAACTTCTGTCACTTCGTGATATATAGCGTGACTGCCAGCTAGCATTGTTATGTAAGAATCCCCGGTGGGGTCTTTGGTGTCCACTGATTAAGATACCCGAAATATGATAAAACAGTTGTCCATTACTCCCTGATTTCCACTGGTTCTCTAGATGAATCCAATTCATGATCAATCTTGAAATCAATTAAGTCCCGGCAAAAGAACACTTGAAAAAAACCCTTCAAATTCTTAGTTTTTTATAATCATGTCTAAGCCTTGGAGCTAAGTTTCGTGCTAGTTGGTACTCATCAACAAGGCGTATCTGCAATATTGAAGGAACTCATGTCCCTTCTGTGATTCGAACCCGCGTCACCCAGTGATGTAATCAGAGACGTTACTACTGAGCTATTCGAGCTTCCGAGGCTTCCTGCCGATTGCCCCCAACCATCTAATATCATCAGATCAATGTGCGCCTTGATGGTGAGCTTCCTAGAATGATGGTCACATTACAAAGCTGACTGCAGTCTGATTGGACACTAGTTATTAGTGTCCAATCAAAATTTAACGGAGGTATTGGTTTCCGTGGCTTAATGAACGTGAATACTGACCGTTTCAGTAGAGATTCCCTTCATCTTAGATCAATGTAATAATTTGCTAAACAATTATGTAAAGCTTTATATTTTCCTTAAACAAAATACCAGACTTAAAAACTACAGATTATCTGTACATGATATTCTAAAACCACACATAATTTTATTTAAATCTTTTACCTTTTTTTTCTTCTAGTCCTATTGAGTTTTGTCAATGCCTTCTCTGTACGCCTGTCTACTTTCGTTCAAGATATATTCACCTATGCAAAACTTGCTGCCTTAGTCATGATCATTATTACTGGACTCGTGCAAATAGGTTTTGGTAAGTTTAAACAATTGTTCTCTATAGAGGATTAATCATTACAATGAAATTTTATTAAAACAAATATGATAGCATTAATTGCACATGATTTCTGCACCTCTCCATCTCAGTAATTTAAGCCATTATTTACGTGTTGTTGTTTTTATTTTTGGTGGTGGTGGTGGAGGGGTGGAAGGGGGTTATAACTGGAACCCTGAGATCTGTAAATGAGAAACTTTTAACATAAACATGTGTGGTCAAGTATTCCTCATATCGAGGGATAAATGGTTATTTTTATTCCGGTTAGATTGATGTTTGATGAATACTGATACAAACAACAGATGTGATACTATGAGTTGTCCTAAAAAAAACTGAATGTCTACAGAGAGGAAGTACCACTGCTTTAAAGGAAGTATTGTATTCTATGCTTATAAGGAAATAATATGGTGAGGTGGATCCAGTTTTTGTGACTCATATGTGTACGTTAGTTCATGAAATTTTCAAGTATTGGTTTTGTAGAGATTTTGTTTGATTGCGTCGAGGATTTCAACATGAGCTGACATAAGTTAGAGAACCATTGAAAAAAATAAGAGTATTGGACAGCTGTTTCGTCCTTGTAACCGGAAGGTCCTGGGTTCTTGCCCTGGTGGTGGATGCGTACTTCCGATGATTCCCAAGCTAGGATGAAACAACTGGCTGTCCAGTACTCCCTGTAGCTGGTTTTCAATGGTTCTCTAACTGATATCAATTCGTGACCAACTCTTAAAATATATATATATATATATATATATATATAGAGAGAGAGAGAGAGACTTAAGAATAAGAACAAATTTTTCAGTAAAGAAAATTTCTGTGAATTCATTCACTTAGCCGTACACTCGCAAATACTCAGTAACCGATGTTAAATATATGTCCAATTATGACAGTCCATACTGACACATTGTAACCTTCCTGTAGATATGTAGGACAATGTTCCTTAAATCTCTTGGATAAAACATGCATTCAACGACTTATATTTCTGTCTATCCACTGGAGTAAATGAATTAGTAGATATACATAAAACTGGTCAGATGCGATAATTTATTTTTCGAGCAACTAGAGAACATTGGGCAGCAGGGGAACCCCAATCTTAATGTATATTACAAAGGTGCTTGGTATCCTCTTCTTTAGAGTGCCAGAGATAATGTCGCCTTCAAAGACTACATTCATGTTTGAAAACTTCAGTACAACTATAGCATTTTCTTCTTTGGTTATAGGTTCTATGTGTTTATCTATAAAGCATAAGGGGTAGCCATTTTCGCTTAGTGTCTTCTTCAGAAGTGTGATTTCCTCATTTATTAACTCCAGACTGAAGATTCTTCAGATTCGATTTATCAGCATCAAATTGTTAGAGTTTGTCAGCTAGTCATTCTACATGGGCTTTCTGTATGCTGATCTGTTTAATGTCCCATCAGGTTTATGCTTAACTAATTTATTTTTACAGGATTTGATCATGAGCTGAAATTAGTTAGAGAACCATTGGAAAACCAACTGGGAGTACTGGACAGCTATTTTATTCCGTCCTAGTTTGGGACTCTTCATCAGACCCACCCACCAAAGGGGTTCGAACCAAGGACCTTCTGGTTACAAGGTGAACTCGTATGCCATTGAGCCACTGGGACCCGATCCAATAGCTAGCCCATGACTTCTAACTTCTGCCAATTCACGACATAGCGCGACGGATCCCTAGCCAATGTCATCTGCGGCGAGTATTTGTCCTCACACCCGACCTGCTGCATCCTACTGGTCACGACTTCTCACTAGAACCCCAGGTAACTACCTACCTGAATAGGGCAAGTCGCTAGTGAGCATCTCATTGATATCCAAGTTTTGGTTTGTAGGGATTTGACTGATCAAAGGATTTCATCATGAGCTGACATTACCTATGGATTTGTTATGTTTGACAGACTAGAAGTACATACACAGTCACATACAAATTACATACATATTTGTGATTGCACAGATAAGCGAATGAATTCGTCGCAAAGACTCTCTTCTTTGAACTATTTGTTCTTACTTTTTATCACCCATTAAGTCACAAAAATCAACACAGAAGTTTGATAGATGAAATAATATCTTCAATAACACAATAATATACTCGGAAGTAAATATATCTACGTGTACATGTATTTTCCTACTCAATTTATTTTTCAGGTTAATTTTTCTAAATTTTTGTTGTTGTTGTTATTGAAGGTAAGTTGCAGTTATTGTTTTAATTACGAAACAGTATTCCATTAATTAACTACCTCTTTTCAATAAAAAAAAAATGGTATTATTTAAGTTCATAGGGAAATGAATTACGCAAGGGTGAGTAGCAGTTATCAATTATTCATTATAAATTGCATTGAAGGTTTGGAAGTTTCCTAGTTTGTTTTTTCATTGAAAATTTTTGTTTAACTTTTAATTGTTAATAATACTCTCAATTTATTGAGTCCTAAAGAATTGCTCACCAGAAAGGTACGTCGGTGGCACAGTGGTTATGACTTTTACCGACCATACACATGGAACCGTGTTCGATCCCTAGTCGACGCACATTTGATATGTGTGATCGGCCTGCAAAATTTGGGCTACCGATATCATATGCTGAAAATTTCATACTTGTACCAAAAATACGGTGTGGAATCAAACTATAATCAAAAAAATAAATAAATAAACGTTTAGTAATTGAAGTATTTAAAATGTCTGTTGAACTGGTCGGAAGCATGAATCAGAAGCATGTGTACAGTGAATTAAGCTTCAATAAAACTGTGAGGTTGCTTAGACAGAATCTGTGAGTCATCCGAATTCGATAATTGTAAACATATATATATATATATATATATATATACATGTCTGTGAATTTTTTCAGTGAGCGCTTTTCAGTCTGTCTTAAGTGATTAAAGCCACAGCATCAATCTAATTCTATTTTAGTTAAATCAATGGGGAAATAAATTATCCTCTTAAAAATGCTTATATAAGTTATTATATGGTAGCAAAATTCATTTACGATTAAACACTGAAGCTTGGTGAACATTATTATTATTTCTTTTAATTCCTAGAGGAACATAGGGCTTCAGCCGCGCTTCTTCACAGCGTTCGATTCTCTGCTAAAGTTTTCACCCCTCTCCAAGTCTGCCCACTCGCTTTCATCTCCTCCCTCTCACATGACCTCCTCCATGTCATTCTTGCACTGGCGACCAACTCGCGGCTTCCCTTTCGGGTTCCACTCAAGTGATGGCCTGTCGTGTGATGTCACTTGATGGTTTCCTCAGGGTATGGCAAATCCATCTCCATTTCTTCCTGCTTATTTGTTGCACAATCGGTTCCTACTGGGTTGGTGCACTCATTGCCAGAGATCCCTGTTCCTGATCTTTTCTGGTCAGCTATCTGATCTTGAGATGTAATGAGCGAAGACAGCTGTTAATGAAGGTCTGTAGTTTGTTTGAGGTACTCTTTATGACGCGCTGGCCAAGTCTCTGATCCGTATAGTGAGTAGCACTGACTTCACGTTGGAGTTGAAAATCCGGATCTTATTTTCATTTTCATGTTGAGTGCTGTTGACCTTCACATAGACTTGAGAGTAATGAAAGCTTGTCTTGCTTTCTCGATCCTCGCACTGATATCCGCATCAGTTCCATCCGCCTGTAGTTGAAACGGTGTTTCCAAGGTAGGTAAAGCAGGATGTTTCTTTCAGATTTGTGCTGGCTGATTGTTGTCTGTTGTTGTTGCTGCTGTTGGTGTTGCCCAGGAATCTTCATCACTTCTGTTTTCTTTGTGTTTCCTTGGAGTCCTATCTTTGATGCTTCTTCTGCCAACTTGTTTCTTTTCACTTGCATATCTTCCAGTTTGTGGGAAGTCAGACATATATCATCGGCGAAGTCCAAATCCTCCAAGTTTTTTGTGCGGGCCCATTTTATCCCTGTTTCCTCGTTGCCGCTGTCTGTCGCATTATCCAATCTACTGCAATCAGGAAAATCATTGGCGATAAAACACAGTCTTGTCTTACTCCTGTCCTCACTTCGAAGTATTCCGTAATTTCCCCGTTGTGGATTACTTGGCATGCAGCATTGTCGTATAACTGTTGGATGAGATGTATAATTGTCGATGGCACCCCGTAGTAGCGAAGTAGTTGCCGGATCACCTCTCGATCGACGCTGTTCGCTGAAGGCCTTTTCAAAGTCGATGAAGTTGATATAGAGAGGTGACTACCATTTCAAGCTTTGTTCAATGATGATCCATAGTGTGGCGATTTGAACATTTAATTCTTGTCATTAATAATGTATCTGATGAGTGATTTGCTGACGAATGGTCATTTCCTACGTACATTTCACTACTGATTGACTAAAGCTAAGTTGCTGTTAAAAATCACAGCGTATTCTTCACTTATTTCACTTTGGTTTGAAATTCTTGAATCCTCTTGGACAGGGTGCGCGTGGAAAGACCAATGTAGCTGGCTCCACAGCAGCAGGTGAATTAAAATGTTCTTCAGACAAAGACAACTCAAATAGAGTTATTAGGACACTTGTAAATTGAACATATTTTATTTCTAGGCTTATTGATTAGCATTTATCTTCATTATCAGTGTTATTAGCTTCGTGGAATACATTAATATTTTGAAACTAAATAATATTGCTGATGTAAAGCAAATTATCACTCATTTTTGTGAGATTTGATCAGTCAATTGAAGGAAAAATTGCCTCAAATCTATGTTTTAGGTAAATATTATTCATGTTATGGACAGGTAGTCAGACTTTACTTTTGTAGTCATATTGGATAAACAAGTATATTTACTCAATGTTAAGTAAGGAGTTGTTAAATCTAAGTTTTGTATTATTCAAATTATCGATATCTCCATCTCAAACTATTATATACTACTACAGTGTTTAGCAAACGTAAAATTTTCAATAGAAATTTCATTTTCAGACATACGATCATGTTCAGGTTATTTTTAGTAGTAGTGAGTCGCTGGCACAGAGGTTAGGACTCTTGCTGACCATGCATAT